CTTGTTACTGGTGATAATTATTTATATTCAACTTTCCCAGTGCACATTACTGCAGAGCTCCTGCCTCCAGCCTGGACCATGCCTGATGCAGACATAGGAGGTGGAAATTAGGGCTTGGTTACTTGCTGGTGATTTCTTCTGTTGTTCTGAGATTCAGTGCACTAAACAAATGTATAGATTCACGGGATTATTGTTGACTTTCCATTGGGTGTTCTCCAGTCTAGAATGTGCCCTTCCAGGCTCTATTTTCCCTTTTGAGAGCTCAGCTCAAGTTTTGCAAATTCCCATATAGCCTTTTCTGACCTTTATTGATTGCTGTCATCTTTAAATTGTTGCAATTCTTATTATACCTGTTAACCAATCTTTGACATATTTTAGTTTTGCTGTGGTTGCTTTCTTTTCTTTCAGTATATGTCAGCAAAATATACTAATTAAAAATATTGCATTTTCTCTACTGAAAAATTTTATGAAGTAATGTTATTGCAACTCTTCACCAGCATATCTGACAGTGTCTGTCATCTGTATCCAAATATAAAGTGAGATATTTTTCTTTCTCAAAATTCTCAGAGAAGAGAGAGCTGCCTTATCCAAGTCCTTACAAAATCCCTTATAGGGACCTCTCTCACTTTTTTCACTTACACAAAAATGTGTTGAATGGAGAAGGCATATTCATTCTCGTGTAACCTAAATTCCCAAGTTTTGGGGATGGTTTTAGAGATCACTTGACAGAATTGCTTTAAAGAAAGACAACAAAGTTTAAGCTAGATTTAGTTATTATTCCTTAGAGAAGGGTTGTGACATCATATTTAAAAATGTTAAAGGTACTTAAATAGTAGCTAAGCAGTTCGTGATTCTGTTGTAGAGATAAAAAATAGACAGTTATGGGACAAAGGAAAAAGTAATCAGCTTAATGCAGATTTCCAGTGATAGCATCTCAAAAATAATCAAAAAGTGCTATATCTCAGACTATTTACCTAGAAGTGAAAATGGTATGTTCTAGCTCTAAAAGTGACAATAGTGATGAGGAAGTCATTGTGAAGAATTTAAATAAAATCATTGCATGAAATGTACAAATGTGACAAAAAGCAAATATCTAAATTTATGTATTTTATCTCAGAGATAATTTACAGTATGTGTTCCTAACTAAATTATAATTTAAATGTTATAAACGGGCATGAGCATTTTATCAACATCTCTAAAAATCAAATGTTTGAATTAATTAGACATAAATAATGAAATAATAATTAAGTAGATATATTTCATTGATAGCCTATATGTCTATGTATTCATTTGGATGAATATATGTTTTGGATCTTTTCTCAGGCAAATAGGAGATCCTTATAATTAGGGGCATATTCTCGTGTAAGATCTCTGAGGGCAGAGACCGTGGTATGTTCTGGACTTAGTTCTATCTCCAGTGACTGGCATAGTGCTCTGAATATAAAAACTCAGTAAGAGAATATCGCAGGCTGGGTAATTTATAATGAACAAAAATTTATTGGCTCACAGTTTTTGGAGGCTGTGAAGCTCAAGATCAAGTGCTGGCATCTGGCAAGGATCTTCTCTCTGTGTCGTCTGTGGCGGAAGAGCAAAAAGAGGATGAGGCAGAGGAAAGGGGATTGATTTTTGCTCTTATAATGAACCGATCCCCGGGAGAACAGCATTCATCTGTGTGTGAGGGAGGAGCCCTTGTGGCTTAATGACCTCTCAGCAGGCCCCACCTCTCAACATTTGCATGGGGGATTAAGTTTACAACATGTGCTTTTTGTACAACACATCCAACCCCTAGCAAAGACCTACTTCTCTGATGTCTTCCTCCTCTGCAGGAATTGGCCACTTCCCTCACCTTTGCCAAAGCACTCTAAGCTTGTCCTGTACTGAATTACAGACCTGTCTGTGCATGTCTTCTGCGCTGTCAACTCCTAAGGATGGGAACTTTGATCTGTCTTAGATCTTTAGATTTTTGAACAGTGCTTGATTCATACGTAGCTACCATAATGTTTATTGGCATGAAATATTCATGAGTTTGATGCCTGCAGGGTGTAGGGTAACTCATTGTCTCTGCTCTTGCTGAGGGACCAAATAGCTTGCTATCTAAATTCTCATTACTTGCTCTCTGAATCTCCAGGACCAAAACCATTTGGGTTTTGCAGTATTTTTCACTATTGGAATTCTAGGAACAGAATATAGGAGTATTTTAAAACACATGTCAGAATACAGACCCAGTTTCATGCGTGGGCAGAAATGGTTTCTGAGTCTGTGTACTTTATTTGAGTGAAAGTAGTTGTCTGTGTTCCCGTCATTGAGACTGAATGCAGCTCTGGTGTGGTAGCTCTTCTAACCATGTCTTTAATTTCTAGTTGGCACTTTCCTGTCTTTGCTGGCTTTGGCCATGGTTGCCAGATGTTGTAACTACAGAGAAGGGACTGCTGTTGTCACTAGAATGCCAAACTATGGTGGTGTATAAGTTAGGGTTGCAAAAAACTAATAAAACCTACAAAACTCAGGTTTATGAGCATCTGCTAACAGAAAAATTATTTTTTTAAAAGAATTTAAACATAATATGGCTTATTCCCACAAATGTAAGGAGTACTTGAGTAAAGTTAACACTTTCCATATGTAACAGACTAGGGTGGTTTTATTTTTGAGTATTTTGTATCCAGTTGGAACATATAGCTGAGCTGTTGTTTTGAACCATTGAATTGAAATGACATTTTCATTCTAGGGGAAGGCAGATTAAGGAAAGGAGAAAGTTACTTTTTATCAAGTGCCTGCTCTTTGCTGGCCATAGGCTAAATGCTGCCACGTGATTGGACCATTGCATTCTTATAACCACTGGATTTACCACAAATTCTTTTTTTTTTTTTTTGTATTAACATTTTATTATCTTGCAAAAGATAACAGAGAGATGCCATGTGCCCATGACCCACTTCCTCCAATGGTAATACCTTATATAACTATAATAGAGTATTGCAGCTAGGAAATTGTCATTGACCTTATTCAGATTTCACTTTTTGTACAGACTTATTTGTGTGTGTCTGTGTATATTTGTGTATTTAGTTCTTTGCAGTTTTACCCCATGTGTAGGCTACCATTTCTTTTTAAACACATGAGGAAAACAAGACTCAAGTAAATTATGGAAAATGCTCTAAGTATAGACCTTAGACTTGAAGTTGGGTCTGTTTGATCCAAACTTTTCCTTTTTCAGTAATAATATGATTAATAATAATAATGGCTGAAACTCACCGAGTTCCCTATGAAACATATTGAGTCCTTACCCTGTGACAGGGACTGTTCTAATGTATTGACTTATTTGATTCTCCCAACAACTTATGCCATGTAAATTATACCACAGTTGAATTAATATCCTTAATTAAACTCTAAGTCATATTACCAAAGAATAGGTAATTGTTTCTACAACTCCCTAAATCAATAACAAAATAATGAAATTCTACCCTCTTTTTATATAATTTCACATTTTTTAACCTCTAACCTTAACCACTGATCTGATCTTGGCAATTGATAGCTTTATATTTTTATAGTATTTTTCACTATTGGAATTCACTGTTGGAATTTTATATACATATATAAATGAGACCTGTATTATTATGGATTGAGTTAGGTTGAGACACCTTAAAAATAGTTTTACTAAATTGTAAATAAAAGCTGATTTAGGCAGAATGCCAGGTTTTTAAGGGAATAAATGTAAACCATCAAGAATATTCATGAATATAATTGGGAAAAGTTTTTTCTTCTTCTCCTGTACAGTATTTTAGCTTTTTTGGGCCAAATACAGCCCCAGGAATATTTGAATTTAATCAGCCTCCCAAATTACATATCTGACTTTCAAAGTGGGACCTTAATGCATTTGGTTGTGAATTATCACTGATTAGCAGAATATTATAATGCTCTTAGAAGATAATAGATACACCAATCAGCAGCCCATAAATTTACCATTTTTTTTTGCCAGTTAAATATCTTGTAAAGCTGTCCCTCTGATAAACAGCAGCACTTATTCAGACCAAAAATGACAACAATCCTGTGTGCTGTACATCCCAGGAGGTCTTGTTGTTTTTGTAGACAGCAGACAGAAGTAAAAGGAATTTTGTCCTTTTTACCTCATGTAATCCCACTGGAAAATGAAACATGTGCTAGGAGTTGATACTGACTTCTGCCAGGTCACCTCCCTAAACAGTCTCTGGCAAGCGCTGTTGCAACATTTCTTGGACGGGCGTCTGACGGCCTGTAATGGCGATGGATGGTTTATGTAGCTCGCTGCCATGGAACACTGCGCTACTGTCTACCCCTGCGAAGCGTCTCGTGGGGCGCCATGAGTAACCTGCGTCTGGTACTTTGACTCTTCCAAGAGGGTATTAGATAAACTTTACATCTCCAAAATTCAAACTGAGTGCTGTATAGTTTTTTTTTTTTTTTAATCATTGACTACAATAATGCAGCCCTATGTATGATTTATTTTGTCTGACTTTGTAGAACTTTGTTTTGGATGTTAGATAATACAAGTGTTTTTGAGGCTATATGTTATTAGCAACTATTTGGAAACTACAAAACCTTTTTAATGGACAACCCTATCAATTTTCTGGTCTTTTAAGGAAGTTTTTCCTATTCATGACTCATTTCACTCTTTGGCTCACATTGAGGGAAATGTAATAACGATTAAGGAAAGGAATGTATGCGTTTTCTTTTTCTTCTTTTTTTTTTGAAAACCTGTACACATTTTCAGTCTCAGGTTATGTAAACTTGGATGACTATAGAATGTTGACAGCCATGAAGGGTAAAAACTAGTCTGTTAATACATACTGCTTTGGAATTTAAAAATCAAAAAAAACTTTCTTTGCTTTTTTGGACAAGTGTTTAGCTTGATGGCCCAGAATACAGACCCAGTAAAAACGACATGTTCTAGCTGTCATTTACACACACCTTAAGCGAAATTAATGAGATCACTCTAAGATTACACTCTGTGTTTTATTTTCATTTTATAGGTCTGTATGAGCTGTTGACTGCTCTGCCAGCCCAGCTGCAGCCACATGTAGATAGCCAGGAAGACCTGACCTTCCTCTGGGATATGTTTGGTGAAAAATGCCTGCATTCACTGGTAAAGGTAAACCACGCTGATGTCAGATTCTCTTTGTGAAAAAACATATGGAAAAATATTTTGAGCCCCATCTAGTAAACCAGAGATCAAATTGTTGCTGTCTGAAAACAAAACAGCCTTGTTCCATTTCGCTGACGGGCATAGAAGTTGTTAAAGATTCTACCAAGAATATATAGATGATTTCACTTAATGGCGGTGATCTGGTTGTGCATACTAATGTAGCAACCATGTGGTCGACCTTGTTTAGAAAAAGAATATGAAATAGTAGCAGGAAAGTTTAGACTCCTTTATGGTCAACATTCATGAGCTGGAATTTAACTTAAATAAATGTTCACAGCAAAAATTAGAAGGAATATATTTTCTGAGGTCAAGGATGGCAGAAGTTCAGTAGCCACATTAATTTAAAATAATTTCCTTTAACAAAGTCAACTGAAATTCTAGTAAGCTGTTTCTTTTACTGGCACAATTCCATTGAAATGGTATTTTGTATATAAATACACTGAAGCTAAATACGAATAAAAACAGTTTTTGGAGACAGTTTTAGTAAAGCATCATGCCGTGAAAATGATCACCCAGCAGAAATCAAGTCTTGCCATACAGCAGCACTGGGAGTGATCAGAAGTCTTAAAATAGTAAAATGAGAACAAGAAGCTTACTGGAAAATATGCCACTCTTGCTTCTGGAAATATGAATTGCATTTTCTCTCATCTAACTCAAGCTGAAAGAAATTTAGTCTTACTTGAGTCTGCAGGAGACTCAACAATATCCGGACCTATGTTTAATTCACCTAAATTTGTTATGGTTGTTTGTCATAAGAGGCTTTTAATTGATGTATGGTATTTGAAAATGAGCAACTTCTGAGTTGCCATTGCTTCACAGAATACGAGGATTCTTGTATATTTTTTTCTTATCAAATTTACTGAAATTTGTGTGTTTCAAGTAGTGACAATTCTTAAGTGAAAGTGTTGATATGTGACATTTCCCTAGCAAGATATTTAATGACTACAGCATTTTAGTTGTTCATTTCCTGATTTTTTTCATAGCAATGTAATTGCCAAGGTATCCTTGTGCTCTGAATAAGTTTAGGTACTGTAGCTGCCATGTTAGGGGTTATTAGAAATGGTTTTGGGATTATAATTGATGTAGTTTCTGACTTAGTGGGGCAACCATAAAAATATTCTTGTGTTTTATGTACGGAAGTTGAATAGCTATGACTTTGTTTAGATTGAGTTGATCTTTTGATAGAAGGAATAAAATGTACTTGAAGTGGCATCACCATCCCTTAATCATTAAATAAGCATGCCCCCAAACAACAGATGCATGTTTATATTTATTTATAACATAGCTACTATCTTGTGTCCTTACCTATAAAATGGAAGTTATAATACCTGTTGAAAAGGTTGTTTGTGAGTTTCAAAGAAAATAGTGAAGATCTAAGTTCTTTGACAATTATATAGGGTACACAAATTTAAACAGGCATTATTAAATATTGAGGAAAAAGTTAATTATCATAGCATGTGAAGGACCAGAAAAAAACTACAGAAATGGTTGTTATTTCTATTAAAAGAATAAATGTGTAAAACAAATTCTTAGTTACACTGGTTTGAACTTTAAGCTTAGGCTGTTTTTCAAAGTATATGTTGATAATAAGTGGTTAAGTAGCATACTGGCAGATACTGATATCTGGTTTCATAAAAACAGTGAAACAAACTCATGTTGCTAGTATTTAGATAGCACAATAACACATGTATTAATATTATTCCAAATATTTTTCAGTAATTACTATAAAATGTATTTTTAAAATTAGTTTTATTACGTACCTCTAGAACATTCTCAATTTCTTAATAGTTTCTCCCACCTCCAACTTTTAACAGATGCAGACCTCAAGTGTGTCCTTTGACTGACCCATTCTATTAGTTTTCAAATACGTAAAGTCTGCAATGCCTCCAGGAGGCAGGCTCATGGGATTGTATTAAATAGCTGGAACAAACCGCTTAACTGTATTCCAAGTGCATCTATTTAAGACTGGAGGATAGAAGCCTTCAGCTTTTGTACATAAATCTTGGTAGAGCAAAAGGAATTTGTTTGAAAAGATTTAGTTTTAGAGTGAATCAAAATGTGCTTTGGTTTTATGCTCTTTTGCCTGTAGTTGAAGCTGTTAGTGTGTGATTTAGAATTGGGTGAACACAAAACTTGATTTTATTCCAGCACAGAATTTTCATTGCCATCATCTTATTTTGTGTTGGAAAAAAAAAAAAAGCGATTGTAAGTCACCATGCAGTTTTAAATGTATGTCACTCTGGTCTAATGTAGAATATACTTAGGAAGAGACAGTTTGGCAGTGCGACAGGCCTGCATGCCACCTTGGGACAGTGAGCCACATCCTGGGAGGAATGCTGTAGAAAGTGAGCTTGTCACTGGAGAGGAAATACGATGGTCCTGTAGGGTGTTAGCTGAGGATATATATATATATTTTTAATTTTCAAATAGAAAAGTTGAAGAATAATAAAACTGGTAAGCATGAGACTTTAGAGGTATCATAAGGAAGATGATACTGAGGAAAACCTGGGAAATACCATGTATAGGGATGGAAATGTGCAGTTTACGAGGCTGGTAATGCAGAGCCATTAGAATTTACACAGCACAGTGATGGGACAGACCACCAGCAAAGGTAGTGCCACATCTGGCACTCTTCTCGTGCCAGCATGTAGGACCACGAAGCATATATTTTGTGTCTTAACCTCTTTTCTAGATTTATCTTCTACTTGTGTGTTTTTTTCCTACTGAGATCTCTTTACTTACTTTAAAATTTCATTTAATTGTATGTATTTTTGTAATTTGTCTTAACTTCATTTTAGAACAAGATATGGCATAAAGACTTGCTTAAATACTGCATTTCTTTTAAATAAGGCTGTAGTTCTATTTCTTAAGAAATTCTTATTCTTAACTCAAAATTGTATCAGATTTCTAGGATCAGACTATCAAATTGTTTAGCACCTTTTAAATAGTTGTGTATGTCTCCCCCACCCTCTAAAATAGTTGTATCTGCTATGTTTGGGGGCAGTAGGAAAAAAAGTACTAATCTGAATTTTATCCTTTTTGGGATTTTGAAGTATTTCAACAAACACAAACTGATATTTTAAAGAAAATTTTCCTCATGTGATTGAATTATTGTGTGTATTTTTGTGACTTTAGTCTTAAGGGAGTAATGACATACTTAGCTAGACCCTTATAACTTTTAGTTACATATTTTTATCTTTTGGTTATTGATTGATGGGCTGATTCATACTTTTTGTTGAGTACTTTGCTCTATGCCAGTGACTATATGGACAGCTAGGACCAAAATGTCCAACATGGCAGGACAGTCTCTGGTCTGTGCAGTCTCCAGTCTTCCTGAGGATGTATAGATGAGGGATGGAGAGTTTCCATATTCTGTGATAGATCATGTTTGGAGCTTTTTATGAGAGGCACAAGGTACCTTATATTGCGAAGGGCTCATGGAGGATTTGATATCTCAGGCTGGGATCTGCATGCTGATCAGGAGTGGCTCAGGTAAGGATTTCTGGTGTGGATCAGGATGGGGAGGTCAGGCAGAGGAGTGACACAGCACCTGGCAAGAGTGAACCTCTACAGTCAACATAGAAGGTGGATGAACTTCACCCTAAGACAGTGGGAGCCATTGCATTGAAAGGTTTCAAGCAGGGGAGTGAAGATACCAGATTTTAATTTTACAAGTAAATCAGTGTAATCTGGGAATGGTGGCGCATGTCTGTAGTCCCAGGTACATGACAGGCTGAGGCAGGAGGATCGCTTGAGCCCAGGAGTTTGCGGCCAGTTTGGGTAACATAGTGAGACACTGCTATTAATAATAATAAAATTAAGATACTAAAAAAAAAAGAAGTAAGTTAGTGTACTGTGGAGATTGGATGGGACATGAGATTTCCAGGTCAGAGATGATGGCAAAGTGTGGGGAGACAGGAGCTGAAATTGTTTTGAGACAGGGAACCTGTGCTCTCCGGTGTGTGTGCTGTTTACTAACATATTGAAACTTCTCCTGCCATGTGATCCAACAGCTGGTGTTTATTCTAGGCCACTGGGGGTTCAGAGAGGGCAACAGGAGACCTCTACAGTCAGTCTGAACGTACAATCCCTAAGGTACCAGATACCAGACTGTCTCTTCAGAAGAAATGAGAGGTGAACAAAACAAAATTAGTTTTGTTCGTGTTTGTTTGGGATTCGGAGCATAATCAAATAGATCCACCTAGAGTATAGTTAGATACGTAGTTCTCGAGCTGAAGATAACTACATTCTAATCTGCATATAATAGATTTGGGAGTAGAGCTGCCAGACAAAATACAGGACATTCAGTTAGATTTGAATTTCAGATAGCCAATTCATAATTTTTATTTTAAGTATGAGCCACACAATGTTTGTATTTTTATTTATGCAATCTATTTGGAAGTCATCAGCATTTAGAGGGTAATATTTTTTGGTAACGTGTTGAAATGTAATTCACATACCATCCAATTCATCCACTTGAAGTATACGATTGAGTGATTTTGAGGATATTCACGCAACTGTCACCACAATTAATTTTAGAACCTCAGAAAGAAACTTTGTGCTGCTTGCTGTCATCCCCTGATCTTTGCGTCCTCCCTCCTATCCCTGCCCCAAGCAACCACTAGTCTACTTTCTATCTCTGTATTTGCCCATTCTGGACAGTTCCTGTAAATTGGAATCATGTTAGATGTGATTTTTTTGGTAACTGACTTCTGTCAGTCAGCTCAGTGTTTTCAAGGTTCATCCACCTTCTAATATCAGTGCTCTAATTCCTTTTTATGGCTGAATAATATTGTATGGGTATACCACATTTTGTTTATCCTTTTCATCGATGGGCATTTTGGGGTTGTTTCTACCTGTCGACTGTTGTGAATAGGTAGAATAGGTAGAATGAATAGGTAGAATAGGTAGAATGCTGCTAATAAGAACATTTGTGTACAAGTTTT